CTGCCCTCAAGTGCTGGGCTTTCCTCTCACCCCACACGTCTGCCTGCCAGCCTCCTACTACCCTCAGGAAATGAGCACCTCTGCTGGTCCATGGGTTGTGAATGCACCCAGGGAGCAGGGAGGTGGGGGCAGCAGTACTGTGAGCTCTTCCTCCTATCTCCACTAGTTCCTGGCTGAGCCCCCATGCACTTCATTTCAAACATCTCCTGCTCCCTGTTCCCAAGCGAGAGGCTGGAGAAAAGTAGCAGAAGCATGGTCTGACTGTAGTGAGCTCTGCTTTTTAATACCGCTTTATTTAAAAGCAGCTTGTCTGGGGCCTTTCATCTGTGGTGGAAACAGTCGCTTTTTGTCAGTGACGAACCTCCCTCACCGGCCAGTTACATGCGGCGGTCTTAGCTCAGCAGGGGAAAGGGGTAGATCCTCTAGGCCAGATCCTCAACTGCTATAAATCAGCATCCCTTTTTAAAGCCCAGCCATTGTTTCTGCTATTGCCCAGACCTGAATGCTGCATCCCAGTTGTGTTCACAGCACAGCCAGCTAGAGAAAGCTATCCCTGTCCTTGGTGCGAGGTCTGGTGCCTCAGATCACATTGCAAACCAAGATCCTGGCTCACAAGGGGTCAAAAGCTGTTTGCATCTTGCCTTAACATGGTGGCTTAGCATTTACTATTTCCATGCCTATAGTAATGATCTAGGCTGAACAGATGGGGGTGGGGGGTGCTGAAGGACCTCAGACTTTGCAACAGTCCCACCCTGAGTCATACACCCCACCCATCCTGGGCAGGAGTCCAGGGCTTGGAAATCGAGCTGGGAGTAGAAGCCCAATGGGTGAGGGCAGCAGGGAGCATTCTGGCTAGCTGTCACATTGGCCGTAGCCCTGTGAGGTCAGTGCACCTTTCACCAGCCCTGCATCACCGCTCACTTGCGCCTCTGAAATCTTGGTGTTTCACATTTGTTTTTCCCTGATACAAATCAGCTGTGTTTGCCAAGGCTGTTCTTTCCGGTCTCTGCTTAGCGAGTTCTGTGTTCATGGGAGGGACGGCTCTGAATCTACTGAGCTGCCAAAAGAAGCTTCTCTCTAACGTTACAATTTTAAGACAAAATTGGCCTGGTTCTGATCTAACTTGGGCCAGTTTACACCTGCGTAATTTCCTGGCCATGAATGAAGTCATGCCTGATTACCAATGGGGTAACTGATGGAGCTGGCTGAGGCTCTGGTCATAGTACAGAGCAAGCCTGGGTAAACATCCCTGCCTGGCCCCCAGCTAGACACCATGAGAATGAGGCAGTTGGACTGCGAGAGTGGAGGACCATGCAGCCCCGAGGGGGGAACAGGATCAGGCAGCCTGGGGTGACCCATAGTGGAGAGTTCTTGAATGTTGTCCAGCACAATGTGTGCAGAGCATGTCCTATGCCAGCTGCACAGTACCCCAAAGCCCACAAGCCGTGGGATCAGCGGGCTGAGAGCCAGGCATGTGCAGTTTGGAACCACTGAGCAATCCAGGAAAGGTCAAAAACAGAACCGGGGAGAATCAACAAGATTTCCTCCCCATTATTAACTCTTCACCAACTATCTACCAGTACTAGTGCCCCTGGAACGCTGCAGCATCAGCCTTTCCTGCTTCTCTGGTGATTTCCAGCTGCCACTCTTAAAGCATTGCATAGGTCACTATAGTAATCCCCATCTTAACAATGGGGAAACTGAGGCACAGGGACATGGGGCCACACCCTGTTTTAATGACATAGAATCCAGGCCTCCCGCTTCCCAGGCTCATGGGTTAGTCACAAGGTCATTCTGGCTCCTGCTAGCCCTAGGGGGACTGGAAGGCTTTCAGCAGGCTGACGCTGCCCAGTGCAGCTGCCAGACACAAGCACTTCAATAGCATATACGTGGGCTGATGTTTTGGCCCCCGCCTGCGCCAGTTACCATGAGACGCATGTACTCAGATCGCTTGCGCAGGTGAGGCAGTTAGAGGAAGGCTGAGCTGCATGTCAGGGGCAGCCCCTGTGCCGTAGGGCACATCGCCCCAAGGACTGGAGCCGCACAGTGTGAGGGGCACACTCATGCACCCTGCTACCGCTGAGCCGGTGGGGCTGAGGAGCAGCCGCTCAGAGATGCAGGTGCCTTTTGGCTTGGTTTGGTTCCTTGGGCTCAGTCCTGGTTGCAGCATAAGCTACGGCAGCACCCTAGACACATCCAGGGCCTGGTGAGGAGCCGAGGTCAACAGAGACAGCCCGCAAGGGGCAGGGCCAGTGCGGCGCTGGTGGCTCAGGGCCCAGGATGGGAGAGTGGGGGGAGGCTGTTCTTTCCCACACAACAGCTTAGTCACGAGAGCTAAGTGACTCCCTGCGGAGTCGGCTCAAACGCTCCCAGGTGGAGGCGGCCAGCTTCCTTCCACACTGTGAGTCAGCCCTGCAGAAGCCATCTCGAGCTGCTGTCACCATCGCCCTGTAATGGCCTGGTGCAGTCACCATCAAACCGCTGCCACCTTCCCCTTCCCCACCACCTCCTGCGGGGGCAAGGCAGGCTGCAGCCTGGCATCCCTGCCACCAGCACCACGGCAGGCTCTGCCTGGCAGCTTGCCACTGCTAACGCCGCTGCCCTCCTCTCGCACCTCCCATCTGTTGGCGTCAACGTACTTCACAATCATCCCCAGATTGAGCCTCACGGCACCCTGCTCAGTGTCTCTATGTCACATAGCAAGTAAGTGCTTGGAATTCCTGTCTGCCTCGTCTCTGCTTTAACCACTAGACCATCCTGCCCTCCTTGTGCTGCCGCGCACAGTGCCAGCAGCACCCCATTGCTGTTCGTCGTAGTCTCACTCTTTGGGAGGACGGAGGGCCCCAGGGAGCTGAGCTTGATTTGGATCCGCAAAAGGGAGGGCAGCGGAGCTCAGCCAGGCTAGCGGTGAGGGGAAGCCATACCTGTCACACTGCATGTGCTGGGAGAGAAAGTGGACCTCCCCGCTCCACCCGCCCCTGTTCTTGTGGGTCATTAGCTCTTGGGACCCTCACCCCCACACTCCCATTCTGAGACAGCTGGGCACAGCAGCCCTCTACTGAGCCGCCTCCAGAACATCCCCAACAGCCAGAGACACGCTGGGCCAACACAGCAGGCAGGGCTGTGGGCAAACTTTTTGGCCCGACGGCCACATCTGGATATGGAAATTGTATGGCGGGCCATGAATGCTCACAAAATTGGGAGTTGGGGTGCAGGAGGGGATGAGGGCTCTGGCTGGGGGTGCAGGCTCTGGGGTAGGGCCAAAAATGAGGAGGTCAGGGTATGGGAGGGGGTTCTGAGCTGGGGCAGGGGGGTCTGACTGGGGGTGCTGGCTCTGGTGTGGGGCTGGGGATGAGGGGTTGGAGGTGCAGGAGCATGCTCTGGGCTGGGACCGAGGGGTGTGTAGGGCAGGAGTGGGATCAGGGCTGGGGCGGGAGATTGGGGCACGGGAGGGGGTCAGGGGTACAGGCTCCGGGCGGCGCTTCCCTCAAGCAGCTCCCAGAAGCAGCGGCATGTCCCTCTCCAGCTCCTACGCAGAGGGGCAGCCAGGCAGCTCTGCGCCCTGCCCCATCCGCAGGTGCCGCCCCTGCAGCTCCCATTGGCTGTGGTTCCAGGCCAATGGGAGCTGCAGGGGCAGCACTTGGGGCAGCGGCAGTGTATGGAGCCCCCTGGCTGCCCCTACGCATAGGAGCCGAGGGGTGGACATGCTGCTGCTTCCGGGAGCCGCACGGCACTTGCAGAGCGGGGCAAACCCCTGACCCCGCTCCCCAGCTGCAGCGCTGGAGCAGGGCCAGCCCTGGACCCTGCTCCCTGGCAGGAGCTCAAGGGCCAGATTAAAATGTCTGAAGGGCTGGATGCGGCCCCCAGGCCATAGTTTGCCCACCCCTGTTCTAGATGGATGCCTGGCTCTGGGGGCAGGACGGAGAGGTACAACACAGTGGGCCTATGCCTCTTCCGCTGACTGCTAGGGATGGTGCATTCGCAGTGCTCTACCTCGGTGTACGGCCAGGAAGAGGGTTCCACCCGAGCAATGGGCCTCAGTCTACGCTAGCAGCTTGAACCAGTTGCAGTACATGCCGGTCACTGCCTTGGCATTACCCATGCTGAGTTAGTGTCAGTTTTGCCCCGCATCCACACTAGTGGTGTCCTAATCCTCTTCAGTTGCAATGCCTTCTGGGCATCTATCCCACAATTCCTGGCTCAGCTTCCAGAAGCAATGCATTCTGGGGCACCATGTGGGGCCACTGGTTTACTGGGGACCTTCCCAGGACTTTCAGCTTATCTGCATCCACAAGGCACTAAACCGGTTCAGGTTCAGTCTGAACCAGCTAAACTTTGCCCAGTTATTCACTCTGCTGAGACACTGTTCTTTTTAGTGGTTTTCTGAACCCTGGGGCATTGTGTGTGGATACAGAGCATCCTACAAATGTGCAAGAGGCTGTACAGGGGTTAGTTTCTCTAGTGGATGCCAGACCATGGCACATGGAAAGAAATTTGCTTTGCACCAATTTACAACCATAGTTCAGGACAATGAATTGCCCCTCCTAGCAAACACCTGCTCTAGGGAAAGCCGCTGCCCAGGTAATGCTGCCTATGCCAGCAGTTCTCAAACTTTTGTCCTGGTGACGCCTTTCACCCAGCAAGCCTCTGAGTGCGATCCCCCCCTTATAAATTGAAAACACTTTTTTATATTTAACACTATTATAAATGCTGGAGGCAAAGTGGGGTTTGGGGTGGAGGCTGACAGCTTGGGACCCCCCCCCCAATATAACCCAATGACCCCCTGAGGGGTCCCAACCCCCAGTTTGAGAACCCCTGGCCTATGCAGTCTGCTCTGGGTGCAAGACTGCACCCCACTCAGTGCCCCACAACGCCTGAATGAGCCAGCCAGGCCAGGGGGAATCCTTTACTAGGAGGCGGCATGAGAGCAGTTTTCTATGAGGGATCCCAGCCTTAACTCCAGCTGGCCTGGCTCAGCTGGGGAGACTGATCTGAGTTACCTTGAGCAGCTCCTTGGGGAAATCACTCCCTCCGTTGAGGCCTTCCAGGTTCCCAATGAAGTCAGAGCAGGACATTCTCTTCCCGATGTTCTGGGGGGTGACAGGGGCAGAGAAATGTGACTAGTTACCTTTGGGGAATGGGAGCAGCGGCTGGCCGGAGAGCCCCCCTGCACCATGGCGGTAGGACAGCCAAGCATTACAGAGCAGCACTGCCCGGATCTCATGAAAGGCCACTTGGAGATGTGGAGAACACAGCCCCCTTTGCTAAGAGCCAGGGAGTTTTAAAAAGCCATTCCTGTCAAAATTCAGAGACCCGAGGCCACTCAATGATTTCTTCCCCATCCCCCTCACTCTCCTCCCTTGTCTTCCTCCCCACTCCTCTCTTCTCCTCAGCCCCGTCTCGGCTTGCTGCTGCTTTGCCAATGCCCTTCTCTCTCCTGCAACCTTTTCTATGCGCTCATCACACCTTCTCCACTCTTCGTTGCTTCTCCTTCCCATCCCCTTGACGCCCCCATACAGCTAACAGGCTGGCTCCCGCATACCCCAGATGCCTTCTGCTCACACGCAGTCAGACAACGGCCACTTTGCCCCCTCCCAGATGAGAAGACGCCTAGTGGAGGAGCAGAGCAGGCAGGGCGCTGAAGCTGGCAGGTACTCACATGCCCATGGAGGTCTGTGTTTAAGAGCATCAGGGCACAGGTCAGCGTGTGGACTCCGTCTGCAGCACAAGCACAAGAAAGGTGATCAGAGCCCCCCCGAAGCACCCCTCTGCATGTGGCTGTTCACTCCATTTATCCATGTCTCCAGACATGGGTCGCCTGATTGATTGATTGATGTTTGTTTCCCACGTGTTTCCCTCCCCCACAACCGGCACACAGGTTGGGCACTGGAGAAGGTGCTGACCTGGATACAGCTTCGGAGAGCACTCCCAGCCCAACACCAATCCATGCCCCTTGTCCGTGCAGCTCAGGGCGCACAGCATGGGCAGTATGCAGCGCTGGGCACCACTCAGATCAGCTGTGCAGGCTGAAGTTCCATTTAATTCTATTGTGTGGTCCCGGCCCCAAAGCAGCTGCACTTGATGGGATTTTGCACAGCTGCTTTGGGGCCAGGACCACACAATAGAAGAGCAGTGAAGCCAGAATTAATGCTACAGAACCGTGTCACCTTTGACATGGCATCTGGCACCCAGTGAGCCCTAAATCCCCATGTACATGGAGCTGACTCAAGGTTGATTCAAGGTGAGGACATGCAGGCATGCGGTGGTGAATTAAGTCAAGAAAGAAACAAGGATGTAAAAAGTCCAGATGAAATAGTGAGATCTGGGCAACTGCTGGTGGCCACTTGAGTATCCGGTTACCCTGGCTACTTCTCTTTGAAAGTCCCTGCAGTCCTGAGCCACGGGACTCAGACATCCAAGGACACACTTACACTTAGAGTAGCTCCTTTCTCTCTCCTGGTGCTGATCTACTACAGAGTTACAGGCGGTGAGTGTCCTAACTGTGCATGTCTAGGCCATAACGTGTCTGGCTTTCAGTGAAGCCTTATCTCTGAATTTCCTGGGTTTGCAACATTTAGTTTGGGAATAATTACAACATCCCTGTGATTTATTTATCTGTAAGGTACTGGCACGTGCTCTCTGCCTTAACTCCAGCTTAACCTACTTTTGGTCAGGGAATCTGCACCCAGGTTTACAAACACACACGCAGCCACGGCCATATGGTAGCTCACCCTCAGAGGAGACAGCATTGGGGTTGCACTGATAATAGCGTTGTGAAAAATGAGCCAGGACTCGCTCTCTCTCCTGAGTCTCCCCCATCAGGGCCAGCTCCTTCAGAAAGGACCTGAAGAAGAGTGGGTCATGCATCAAACCAAACACCATCTGCCCTGCCCCACCCTGTCAAGGAGTAGAGAATTGTCCTTTCTGTAACTGACAGGAAAAACACCAGTGCGTGCAACAGGAAGCCCAGAACTCCTACATTGTTATTTCATCCACTTGGAGGATTCCCCACCGAGCATGTGACGAGACAGTCCCATGTGCACATCCCAGAACTCTACATCAGGTAGGAGAGTCTGCATGGGAACAGCGGCTGAACCCATCCCAGAACTGTCTGGGCTCAGAGACTGAGATTGTGGAAACTCAGCTGTGGCTGGAGGGAATCCAGAATCCATGACATCTCCCTCCACTAGACTGTAAGGTTTGGTATGCTCCTCCCATGCTCTTAGACACCAGCCCATGTGATGGGCTCCCGTGTTGGAGATGGTCCTTGGGAAAAATTACATTTCTTGGGTAAGAGGAGAAATCTTCTTGAGAGGTGAATGGCTCTGCAACCATCTTTTGGCGCTGGGTCTAGGGCCAGCCTGGGAGGGGGGACCTTTTGCTCTTGAACTGCAGATGGCCCGTGTTGCTGGGGCGCACATAGATTCTGATGGTGAACGGCTCCTAAAAACATACATGTCCCCATGAAAGATTCTGACCTGAGAGCCTGGTCCAGACTCATCCCAGTGAACACGAAGAATTTCAGATATTCCCCAGCCACCATCTTACTGAACTCATTACTGAAAGAGAGGGGAGAGAGAGTTGAATAGACCAGACCACAATGACAGACCAGTATAGAGAGAGAGGGAGGGATGGAGATGGGGGTGGGGGGAACAGAGGAGATTTTAAGAACATAAGAACAGCCATACTGGGTCAGACAAAAGGTCCATCTAGCCCAGTATCCTGTCTTCCGACAGTGACCAATGCCAGGTACTTCAGAGGGAATGAACAGAACAGGTAATCATCAAGTGATTTTAAAGCACTTAGTACCACACCAGGAGACATGAGATAGGACAGTGGAAAGTGCGATGGGGGTGGACACACCCAATACAGTCTCCAGTTTTGAGGTTTATTGCATTGATCTCCAGAGGGCAATATTCTGAGTTCTCCCTGGAGCCTGAATGCAGTATGAACTTTGGGCATTTGTGGCCTTTTAGATGTGGGTTGTGAGGAGCGCTCCCATGAGCTCCTGCTAAGGGCAGTCTGTCCTTGGGTGTGGCTCTCTTTCCTACCATTCTCTGCATGCTCCTATGCCCCTGTGGCAGCACCTATGCATGCAGCAGGCTGCTCTGTCTCCTCAGTGACTGAGCAGTGCCCTGGATGAACAGCCTCTCCTGATAATACCCACACGTACTTCTTCCCCAAATGGCGAGCCACGTCTGCTTTTTTGAATCCGTCCAGGTTGTAGAGCCTCTTTGCCAGGCGCTTGGCAGCCTCAAGGTCAGCCTTGTGCCCATTGGACAGCGTGTCTGTGCTGCCCAGTGCCAGCTGCTCCGTGCTGTCCATCTCGGAGTCCGAGTCCGAGACCAGCTGACTCAGAGGATGGTCACTGCAACAAAAACAGAAGCCTCGGGTAAAGTCTTGCAACAAAACTTTTTCCACTGCATCTTGCTAAGGCACCTGGGCTCCTGACCCCAGGCTCACTGTCCTTTCTGCAGCTCACTACCTGGCTCTCCACAGCTCTCTGAAGAGAGATGTCCTAGGAGGCTTCAGCTCTAGACACTGCTACTAGGCCGCAGAACTGGCTGGAAGTATGAGGGGTGGGATCTGGGTGTTCCCCACTTTGGTTTTGTTTGATGCCCAACCTAGAGTTTGGAGGCAGAGCTGTAACCCTCAGTGACACATCATCTGACCCCACCAGGCTGTCTCCTGCTGCTGGGCAGAGGGGCCTTTCCTGTTAGGGAAAGGGATATAATTGAAGACTTGCCCTGCGTATATATCCTGCTCTCCAGCTGTGCAATGTCTGACACATCTCCCGCTCTGAAAGAAGCCAGCCACGTCTTGCCACAGGGACACCCTCCCCCCTCACTGTGCCCTCTCTTCTCTTTCCCAATACCCCTGCTTGCTCCCTCCCGTCCTCTGCATCAGACTGGGACAAGCTGGACAATTTTAAATCCTTTTAGACCCCCAGAGCCAAATGTTCACAGATTCCCTGGACAGACTCACTAAGGTTCACCTAGCCCATGATTCCGGTCTAAGCAGGTGCACAAGGGTCCCAGGAGCATGGTCAGTGGAGAGGACCAGCGGCAGGCTCAACAGAAAAACTAACCCAGCACGCTGGGAGGGAGGATGACTCTTCTGCAGAAGAAGCTCTCTCCAGAGATGCCCAAGTCCAGGGCTCTCCCTTGGTTCTGAAAGGCCCCCTCCAGCCCCATCTCCACTTGTGCAGAGCACGTTTCTCCTTGCTCTCCTGACTCAGCTGTCTCCAGCCCTGTGGAGCTGAAACAGCTTTCAGAGCAGGGAGGAAATTTCCCCTCTGACATGGACTGGTGGCACTGAAGTGGAGCCAGGCCCTTGAATGGGGAACTGGGAGTTCTGCTCAGCTGGTGGCCCAGAGAGCTGTGCCTGGGTGCAGCACCCCGCAGGGAGCATGGAAATTGCATTGGTTTATAGCCACCACTGGCCCAGAGAGAGGATCCAAGATAGAAGAACTCTGGAGACTTTCCCTGCTGGACTGACTGGATCACAGTCCCATGGCCTTCAGCTCAGCTTAACCCCTGAGTGCTGGCCTGGTGAGGCTCTAATAATAGAGTAATACCTAGCGCCTATATATCTGTGCAGTGTTTTTGTAGCCCTGTTGGTCCTAGGCGATTAGAGAGACAAAGTGGGTGAGGTCATAGCTTTTCTGGGACCAATATAAGCACCCCAGTAACCTCAGCCTTGTGCTGTGGATACATCAGCAGGTACTTTAATGGTGCTACTCCAGGGGTAAGTTTGGGACTATCCATAACACTGTACAAACTCAACTCTTGGGTTAGATGGTGCCAAGCTCTGTGAGCAGCCGCCCTCCTCAGCCGAAGCGTCCTTCTGCAGGGGGCAGGCCCGATCCCAGACTCAGTGCAGAAGGTCCAGGGGAAACCTCATATGCACCAACCAGGGAAGCTGCCAGTGCTGTGTGTGGTCCCCCAGCACCCACGCAGGTTCTGGGCCTTCCTCCAGGAGCTGCTGGCATTGCAAAGTCCCTCTTTGCCCGCTCCAGGGCAGGCAGGTGCCCTAAAGGCACAATCTAGCTCAATCATATTCCTCATAATTGCTTGTGCTATTTCATCTCTGAAATTCTTTATGGCTTATGGAAATACTGTCAAAAGACTATGGGTCAGTGAATTCTCACAGCTAACTGGGGTTTAGAGAGGCCCATTCATACACTCACGCACACAGAACAGAGCCGCCAGCTCCTTGCATGGCCATCGAATGGTCCTTAGCCCACATCCTTCCCTCCCCGCCCCTCCCTGCATATTGAAGGCATGCGACAAAGTGCCATTCATCCTCCGAGTCCCACAAAGCGTGCGTCCAATTTACACAACGGGCTGATTGCAGGATCTCCATCCAGTGTGCAACACCCACCAATGTAAATGCCTTAATGGACATTTTAACTGGAACAAACTCCCTGCATTCCTAGGAAAGCAGTAGTTTATAATCCAGACCAGTATGCTGACTTCTTTACTTAGCACTTCTCATCCATTGATCTCAAAGCACTTTACAAAGGAAGGGTGATATTATTATCTGCATGTTACAGATGGGAAAACCGAGGCACATAGGGGCAAACAGAGATTAGCACCCAGGTCTCCTAACCTGCAGTTCAGCGCCCAATCCTGTGTATTCTGCTTCCTATACTACTTCACTCCTTGAGGCCTTAGACTGACATGTTAGAAGAGCTACTCTAGGGTTAGCTTTTAGATCAGACTGACCCAGAGACAGAGAAGTTCTCCCAATCAAAAGCATCCAGAATCCACTCAACAGCAAACATTCAGGAACACTGACCTCGTCCAGATTTGCTGGCAGCCCCATAATGTCCTACTCTGATTTATTTTTACGGTCCTCTAATTGACTTTTAAGGAGGCCTCCTCTCCTGAGCCAGTTACAGAATCAGATCTCCTGCAGAGTCTGCTTCATCCACTAAGGACACAGACTCCTCTCCGCTCCACACGGTTCTAGTGCACACTGCATGTGTGGAATTCTGGAAGCCAGCCAAGCATGCTCCACATAGGGGTCAAGTGCAGAGGATGGCAGAGAGCTCTCCTGAGTGCGGGGTGGGGGGGGGGGGAGGGAAGGAGATTTAGAGGCGGATTTTGCTGCTTCTGAAACTATTGGCTTCCATTTTCCCCAACTCCTCAACTTGGTTTTTGAACATGGTATGTAGTCTTGATATTTGAGTCAATGGGCCAAATTCAGCTCTGGTGTAAGCAGGTGTAACTCCCACTGAATTTTGTCCAATATCTGTCTGTGATTACAATAAGACCAACACACGAAGGATGGCCCACTGCTAGGGCACTAGCCTATGTTTTGACACACCCAGGGTCTATTGCTTGCTCTGTCACAGACTCCCTGTGTGAACCTGGCTGAGTGCTTGTGCCTCAGTTTCCCCATTTGTAAAATGGAGATAATAGCATTTCCCTCCCTTTCAGGAGTGGTGGGGGATAAATACATTGATGATAGCACAGCACTACAATATGGATATCATAAATTAGAGTTTGTTTTCAACCTGTCTCATCTACTGTCGGCCAGCCTTCCAACCCTTATGCACACTTCCCAGTATTGCTGTTGGGAGCCACTTCTTGTAGCTAGATAACCCATAGCCAACCATGTCACAAACACGCACATGACTCCAAGGAGCCAAGTTTTAACTGATCCTAACAGCAAGCGAAGCCTGACTCTTTAAGGCGGCAACTACAAGCAGCTCACAAATCACGTTCCAACTTGTTCCCGGCTGAAGGCCCTTTTTATGCTTTCCGTCCAAAGTCTACTAAAAACCCACGTCTCCCTTCCAGATTCTATCCACCTGCTGCCAGGGTGACGCTGCTTTTGCTTTCTGTTAATGACCAACATCTCCACTGCGCTCCAAATAAGACGGGACATTTCAAGCCCAACTCAGAGAGGTTACGAGCTCTGTTGGGCCTCTCAAAGTGACCTCTTAACTGCCTTCTCCAGATTGATTTTCTGGCTATATATCTGAAGGCAAAATCTTGCATTGATCTTTACAATAATTTCTCTCTCTCTCAATGTCCACATCTCTCTCCACGTTCTCCCATTTGCTTCTGATTGATAGGTGGTGTTCCTCTCTGCCTCTAAACTGGCGTGCATGGATTAGATAGTGCACTCCTGAAAGCTGTGTAGTGTCTGAAATCCACCATCTCCAGCCTGCAATCCTGATTTCGGGCTCTAAATCAGCAGAACCTAGGGCAGAAGAGAATATATCTGGCACTTAACATTTTAAGACAAAAATGAGCTGATTCATGCTCCAGGCTTTGAAATTAACTTTTTGTTCCTAATGGCAGAGCTACTATACTAACTTTAAATTGGAAGCATCAGCCTTGACTCCTAAGTCCTCAAGTTTGGCTAAACTGATGACAAGCTAAAATCCATCCCTTGCCAAGTCAAAGTCACTTGGATTTTTAAACAGAAGTGCCTTCAAGAAAGAAAGCCAATAACCCAGTCTTTCAATCAGTGGCGACCAGAACAAAATGTGCATGGATGTGAGTGTCATAACCAAGGTGACTCCAGTTTCCCTGCGAATGAGCTAAAACATCTCAAAGCAGTTTTTCAAACTGTACTTTCTCAAGCAGCATTTTTGTTTGGCTTGAAGAACTATTTAGCTCACATGTAAGTCTAACATAAAACCTTAACCAGAAGATTGGCCTGCACTTAAAAAATAAATCAATATTCAATCTAGTACTGTACAAGCATCTTCTGTGAGTCATCTCCAGACTGACCTGAAACCCCCTCAATATTCCAGTCTGGCACCCACACAGCTTGCATGACACCCCTCAATCCCGACCAGGAGCCCCTGCTATGCCCCAGGCTCCTCAGAGTACACTGCTATTCCAGTCCGGGATTGTATTCTCAGCTCTGTTGCTGCATCTCAAGCCTGACCTGCCACAACCCCTCACCATTTCACTAACAGGTCAGTTCCCAGGATACCAGTTGTATAATACCACTTCCTGTTCTTTTTACAACTGTTCTTGTGGGACCCAATTCATGTAATGCCACTTCCTGAACTCACTACAACTGTCGCCAGGGGACAAGGAATCTTTTCATGCCACCTCCTACTCCTGTAGTCACGGGGACAGATTAACATTGTACTTTCTCCTGTTGCCTGCTACAGCTGTCACCTGGGTAAAGAGATTCCCGTTGTGCCACTTCCTGTTCTCGTTGTAATAACTGGCAATGGCTCACACCCTGTGGGAGTTTATCTGTTTGTCCAGGGTGTGGGTGTTGTCTGCATGGAGTTGGCTGTCCCCCCACATGCCGTACAGCTGTGCGCTTCTAAGTCATGTTCTAAGGGGAACATTCATTCTGTTATTTCCCAGTCAGTCATTCAACACTCCAGCT